ACCTATATCAAAGGTGTGGAATATGGTCCAAAGGATCAAAGGCAAAGGTTCTAAACCGAGTGTTAAACATATTAAGGAAGGAGATCACTTTCTTGAAGATGCTTCCGACATTGCAAACAAACTTGGCGAAACATTAGCTCAACACTCGGCTTCATCAAACTATCTTCCCGAATTTCAGAAATATCAGAAAACTGAGGAAAAGAAAAAAATTAATTTCCACTCCGAAAACGGAGAAGATTACAACGAAGTATTTTCACTACATGAGCTACAAGCTGCCCTTGGGCAGGCTCATGATACAGCAACAGGGGCTGATAATATTCACTATCAGCTCCTGAAACATTTGCCTGCATCATGTCTTGAAGTGCTTTTAGACATTTTTGATGACATTTGGACTTCAGGGAAATTCCCTCCTTCTTGGCGAAATGCTATTGTGGTTCCTATACCTAAGCCTGGCAAAGACCATTCAGATGCATCTAATTATCGACCTATATCCTTGACTAGCTGTGTTTGCAAAACTATGGAACGAATGGTAAATAATCGTTTAATGTGGTATTTGGAAACCAATAATCTCATTACTAATATTCAATGTGGTTTCCGGAAAAACCGAAGTACTATCGACCATTTGGTACGATTAGAATCCTATGTAAAAAATGCAATTGTAAATAAACAACACGTAGTATCAATTTTCTTCGATCTGGAGAAAGCGTATGATACTACTTGGAAGCATGGCATTTTGAAAGATTTGCATGATTTCGGTTTAAGAGGTCGTTTGCCTCATTTTATCTCACAATTTTTAAAAGACAGGCACTTTCAAGTCCGAGTGGGTTCAACCTTGTCTGACCATTACAATCAGGATCAGGGTGTCCCACAAGGCAGTATTTTGTCTGTCACATTATTTAGCATAAAGATCAACAGTTTATCCAAGGTTTTAAACGATTCAATTGATGGATCACTTTTTGTGGATGATTTTAATATTTCATGTCGCGGTAAGAAAATGCATACTATTGAACGGCAACTGCAGTTGTGTTTAAACAAGATAAATAAATGGTGTCTTGAAAACGGCTTTAAATTTTCAAAATCCAAAACTAATTGTATACATTTCTGCCGTAAATACAAACCGCATAAAGACCCTGAACTCTCTCTAAATGGCACTCCCATTAAAGTTGTGAAGGAGGCCAAATTCTTGGGTATTATTTTTGACTCGCACTTAACTTTTCTTCCGCATATTAAATCACTTAAAGCTAAATGCCTGAAGGCACTCGATTTGTTGAAAGTTGTTTCCAACACAAAGTGGGAAGGGGATCAAGCTACCCTCCTCCACCTATATCGCTCATTGGTCCGCTCGAAACTTGATTATGGCTCCATCGTATATGGTGGAGCTTGCAAAAGCAATCTAAAACTACTTGATTCTGTCCACCACCAAGGTCTGAGACTTTGTCTTGGATCTTTTAGAACTTCTCCTGTTGACAGTCTCTACGTCGAAGCAGATGAGCCTTCTCTTGCCCACCGACGTATAAAATTATCTTTACAATATTTTACAAAACTGTATTCTAACGAATCGAATCCTGCATTTCAGTGTATCTTTAATCCTCTTTATGAGGATTTGTACAACAATAAATCTTCTCTTGTTCCGCCCTTGGGGCTCAGAATGAAGCCATTCAATACTGCTGCCGGCATTGAGCTGGAGAATATAGCTCCTTCCCGTCTTCTTTCTTCTCCTCCTTGGCAATTGGTTAGGCCTGAAGTTGACCTAACTCTGACAAAATTTAAGAAATCTGGAACTAATGAATTACAGTATAAACAAGAATATAATCACTTAAAAATCAAATATAACACATACAAATCCTTATTTACAGATGGGTCCAAGGACGGTGGCGCAGTGGCATGTGCCACTGTCATTGGATCCAGAACAATATCTTCTAGACTACCTGATAACAGCTCTATATTTACAGCAGAAGCAAACGCCATCTTAACAGCTCTTAAATATATTCAAAGACATCCAAAACATAACCAGTATATAATATTTTCTGACTCTCTTTCTTGCCTTCAGGCTATTAAAAATCTCTCTTGCAAACATCCACTTTTAATTGAAATAATCGAATTATATAATGATCTTGCTACAGGCCAGTGCGACATCGTCTTCTGTTGGTTACCCAGCCACGTTGGCATTTCTGGGAATACAATGGCCGATCTTGCTGCCAAGGCAGCACTCAATAAATCTGTGACACCACTTCTTCTTCCTTACTCTGATTACAAAGCTTGCATTAGAACCTACATCCGTGATCTGATGCAGAAGAAGTGGGACACCCAAGTAGGTATCAATAAATTACATGCAATAAAACCCTATATCGGTTACACTTACTTGGGTTGTCAGTCCAGATTTGAAGAGGTCATCATGCGACGATGTCGTATTGGCCATACAAGGTACACTCACAAATATTTGTTAAATGGTGAAGATCCTCCGTTTTGTATCCCTTGTGATGAGAGAGTCACGGTCAAGCATCTCCTGCTTGACTGTGTTGAATTCTCCATCATAAGGGATAAATATTTCAATGTTAAAACTGTTAAGGATCTTTTTAATTCTGTTCATCTTCATTTAATTCTTGGTTTTTTAAAAGAAATTGATTTCATTAATGAATTTTGATTAATATGTTCTGTAAATAGCTGTGTTTTAATAATTGGTAGTTTGATTAGTAACTTAGATTGTTAGTGGCTGTACTCTCAAGGGGGGTTGAAGAATCATAAAAATATTGTCCCCCTGAGAGGGTACGTAAGTCTAAAAACTTCGAAAGTCAATTTAAACTTACCAGGATTTTTAAACGTAGCATTTTTGTCATTTTAATTGTAGCTAACATTTCTTACAATCGCCAGCAGCTGAAGGGATGGTGTAAATCCAACTAGGGTCCATGCAGGTAGCCAAGGTACTGTAAGTCCCCATGGAACCTAGTTTGGTGATCTACCTTCTGGTGTTGGCGATCTATAGCTTGTTTTTATATTGTATTGTCCAAATAGTGCTCTCAGTTTTAACTCTCCATACTAGTTTTAGTTGTAATTGTGATATTCTAGTTGTTTTACTGTCCTTCGTCGACAGGTTTTTATAACATATATATATTTAATTTCAATATCAAATGTTCTCGTCACAATATGGCTGAAATATTGCCGATGTGACGTTAAATATTAACTCACTCACTCACTAAAACAGTTCAGTTGGTGACGCAGAGGTCCAAACTTCGAAATTGTGCAGCTAAAAGTAACTTCAAGCAGGTCAAAATATTTTCAGAAGACGTGATTGTGGTAGAGTTGGAGAAATTATCCGTACATTTAGATCAGCCCATTGCAGTTGGCTTCACCATCTTGGATTTAACTAAATATGAAATTTACTCCTTCTTTTATGATGTCATGCAAAGACAGTATGGACCAGAAAGACTTGACCTTTTGATGACGGACACGGACAGTTCGTTCATGCATGTACATTCACCTCCACATGAGCTCCTTTTGGATCCTTATGTGTTCATGAAACTCAATTTGCATTTATTTGACACTTCCAACTAGGCACCTGATGACACCTCAAAGGGTTGTATTTGGATACAAATCGCAAGGTGACTGGTAAAATGAAGGATGAAGCAGATGGGAGCATCATATCAGAGTTTGTAGGGTTAAAAGCAAAATGTACTCTTTCCTGATGCAAAAATAAAGAAAACGTCATCGAAAAAAGACAGCCAAAGGCATTAAAAATCTGTCATCAAGAAATTTCTCAGACATGATATGTATAAACAATCATTATTTGGTCAGAAGAGGTTCAGTTGGTCCTTTCACTTGATTCGATCACACAATAACACTTTGTAAACTGAGAGACAAAGCAAAGTGGCATTGACACGAGTTGATGACAAGCGGTATCTGTTAGATGATGCTATTCACAGCGTCCCATATGGATATTCACCGAACTAAAACTTTGTATATACTCCCTATGTATGTGAAGACATCTTCACAGGAAAACAGTAGTCAGCAGGTATGTACTTCATTTACTCATTCACCATTTATTTATTTGTTCATTTATCTATCTATTTACTTAATTATTAATTTATTCATTTTCAGCATCAAAATGGATATCCAGAGATATGTATACAGGTTGATCAATGTCAGTGGTGAAACGCTGCGTGAAGGTCAAACCTTAAGAAGAACATGTATGGCAGCTTATCAAGCAGCACAGAGGGTTCTACAACGATTACTGGAGCGAGGTGTTATCCGTGCAAACACTGTATATCCTGTGGAAGTGCATGAAATTTCCACCACAAGACAGTCTCTTGAGCGTGCACGTGACTGAGACATAATCGCCGGAAGTTTGAGACTATTCTGGAAACTCTCTACCTGATGAACTCCAGAGAAGAATCACAAATCTGTCTAAAGGCAATTGTTATTGATGTGAAATTGATCATCCCTCACAAATTCACCACCAGTGTGTGATGATGGATAGTGCTGAAAAAGTGGACCTCTATTTTGAGGAAGCTCTGAGTGGAATACCTCATCAGAACATTTTAGAAAGAGCAACAGGACAACAGGATCTGCTAAACTATCGAAGATTTCGGCTCTATTGTTTTTAAAGTACATTGCAATCCAATGACGACCACTGTTTTGTCTGATCTCAATATTCACAATAAGTCCTACACCTTGTCTTTGCATGAGAGGCGTGATTATAGGAAGCGTATCTCTGGCATACACTCCCAAGACATGTCTCTGTAGGGTTGAATCACACTGAAGGGCACACATCAACTGCGAAGCTTTCATCTCTGTGTTTACTTGATGAAGACGTTTCGAGCCTGATCGATTTCTATGATGGAGTTTCTTTCACTGAGAATGATACAGCTCAAGGTTTGGGTTAGTGCAGTTTTGAACTCAATTTCCAACCGCACATTTCCAGATTTCACCAGATTGAGGTATTCAGATTCTCCACACACCTCTTCCAGCTCGTAGACAAACAGTGCAATTCCTAACAAAAACTCTCATCTGGAAATGCAGTTTCCTCGATTTTCTCTCCAAAGTCCCAAACCATCAAACATGTTCACATAGCTGTTCACATCATCAGCACGGGTTGGACGTCCAGGTACACTGACACCATTCACATAGAGGCTGACAGTTTTGAGCATGCTTGATTGAAAGTTGAAAGGATTCCCATCATGTGCCCCATTCAAACTCTTGCTTTCCAAAAAGCCAATGATGTAGCGGTTAGCAATGGGGTTGGACACAGTATCAATGGTGTGCGTCAGTTGAGAAACGGGGATGCTGTTGATCTTGACCTCAGACTTAGTGAAAGGATAGAGTGCATTGGAGTTATTTTGGAACAGGGTGTTTTGAGCTAGGTTCAGTGCCGGGTTGACTTTGAGTTTGCATATTTGGAGATATGCATCGAGTAACTCAATGGTATACTCTTCTTTAGCTTTACCACTCATCAAACAGAAAGCAGGTGATGATCTGTACAATTTCAAAGTCAAATCTACTCCATTGATCAAATGTGTTTTCATGCCAAACACATCTTCATGTTGGTACTCAGACATCCAGTCTGGGTTAACCCTCATACGTTCGGGGGCTAGGGGGTAGCTGTTGTGTGATGTGTGTAATGCCTTGGGGTATTCCAAGTCAACCTCGAGGATATAACCTTTATTCGAATCTGGTGCGATGCTCATAACATCGACCTCCTGTGACGCCCATTCGAACCCCCCTGTGGGTAGATACTGGCTCATGGCCCAGCCATACAGGTTGTTGGCGTCGAGGTAGAGAATGTGATTGGTTGGCTTGCTAGGGTCGTAGCCCTTAACGTATTGATTATTTGCTTTCGCGTATCGCTTGGTTGCCATGGAGATCCCACCTCGCAAGCCTTTCTCAATGAATAGGTGCATGTCATAATCTGTAAGCAATTCCAACTTAACTCCGGTCTTTTTAAGCAAGGCATCCCACGACAGACCTGGGCTGGTGTAATACCATGTGGGGTCGAGTTTATACTGCTTGAAACACGTCCGCCTAAACGTCTCAAACACGTCGGCTAACAGCAGTACATCTGTCCTCAAGTACAGGTCATGATAATCCCCCAGGTTCTTACAACCCAGTTTATTCCATACGTTAATCGCGTGCGAGTAATCGTCTTGGGATATTTCCGAGTCTGTCAGATTGCTGTAAAATTCTCTGATGGGGGGTAGTCTGGTCTCGGTGAACTTGACCCAACTATCCATGTACTCATAAGGGTACACACCCTTCCTCATAAGCAGGGGTCTAGTCTCGGCGTCTGTGTATCGGTCGGTGATAGGGAAGGTATCGTTGGCCTTGACCAGACTGTCTAATGAAGACAATAGAAATTGTACTGAATCTATGAACCTAAGGCCGTTTAAGCTGAAGGAGATGTATCTCTCCATGTTGTTGGGAATGCACGTTATATTACCATCGATTTTCGCGATGGCCTGCATGATTAAGTGAGAGTCGTACCCTCTCAAGTTGTGAAAGACAACGGGGATGTTTATTGTCTTAGGGTTGATTCTAAGCTTGAGGTTACATCGCAGCTGTGAGCCGCGCCTCTATACTTACCGGTTACGTGGCAGTGATCTCTCACCGAATCACCATTCAGTGGTGAGTCACACACGTGACAGTTAGTGCTACAGGCGTGAGCTAGCCTGTCGGCTCGGGTCATACGCATGGGAGCGACTCTATACAGTGCATTCCTAATAATTTTTCTTCCTCCTGCAAACACTTTAGAAACCTTTCAGCCGCGTCAGGGCCCTATACACTACGGGAGCTTTCGTTTCCCCATCACAACGGACGACAATGTATCCAAACCCACAGGCTTCATGCTCCTGTGTTTTGAGTGTGGTGGGGTACCCCAACAGCCTCAACTGGTTTAACCAAGGCTTCAAAGTCGGCGTATATGATATAAGGCACAGACATTTGGTTCTTGTGGTTACCGAATTTTAGGATATTGTCACCTTCCTTAGGCATGTAGACTTCGTATAGCCGTCTGCCCCACACCTTGGCAATCCTCCGGTGGGATTCTAATAAATCAGCTCGTGTGAAGCCATGTAGGCACCGTTCGCAGAAGTGGGTCTTTTCTCTGTGTGCCGATTGGTCATACAACAGCCTGCTAAAGTGTTTTATCCAAGCGTGGTGGTACTTGTCACCTCGCTGGATCATGAATATATTGATAACACGAGGGGGTTCCCCTTGGGGTTTCTCCAACGGGCTGACCCTGTGCACTATTGTTGTGTTACCTTCGTGCCCAAAGACATTTATAGCTAGATTATTCTGTTTTTCTATTTTAGTTATCTGGGATATGGGGTGGGTTCATCTATACCATCCCAGTTGAGCCCATCGTCTTGGGGATAACTAGAAGGCCTGTTCGAATTAGTGCCAGCTGGAAACAAGGCTGACCTGATAGCTAACCTCAAGCAATCGTCTCCTCTATTCCTGACGTTGACTATGGCATGTTTTTCCTATAGTAGGGAGGCAAGTCTAGGTATGACCCGCCTCTGAACGGCACGTAGTTAGCTATGTCTAGATAGACATTATCGATTTTATCTACAGTCCACCCGACCCCAAGTGTGTGTAGCGTTCTAGGTATTCTCTTATCTGCTGAAAACTAGTATCGATTGATGCGTCAATGGTCTCTATATGGGTCACGACCTCTTGTTTACCCCGAAGTAAGGCTGAACGTGCTCAGTGACACCTCCCCACTTGCTTATCGAGTGACATTTTAACTGTGATTTGAAATTTGATACTTCCTAGACTGGTTAGTTCCTGGTTGACCTTATCAGCTATCAGAGGTTTGATATCTGCGATATCTATGTTCCTATCAACATGCATACGCCAGCCTCTCAAATAGTTGCCTACAGCACGCTCAGTGCGCACGAACTGTAGGTCGACAGCTCTATTCTGCCGTAATAGTTCTACAAGCTGTGGTTTCCTCATGCGGGAATATCCCCCTAACCCCAAATCACGTGCCTGAACTTTCAGTTGTTTTACAGTGGGAGGTTTTGCTACGGGGGCATGTGATAACAATGCGATTAACCCGGCTCTCCCCAAGTTTGAATAACCCGTGAATCCAAGCTGTTTTGCTTGAGCTTTTAATTGTTTTACCGTAGGAGGGGCTTCTAAACCTAGTAATTTCAACAATGCTGGTTTGGGCATTCGAGAATACCCAATTACACCCCTCTGCCTGGCGACCGCTTAAAGTTCACCAACAGTGGTCATAGTTGCATACACACCTAAGAGAACCAATGTCTAATTGGCCCACCGTAAGGTAAAAATCAAGATACACCTTATCGATTATTCCCTCAACCCACCCGGAATATGCGCAGCATAGTAGGGTGTTTTGTATTACTTGCAACGAGTCGTCAACAAGTATATCTATATCCCCATGCACATCTACTCGCCCACCATCAAAGTAATTCCAAGTGTGCCCAGCCCATGGCACATCAAACCCTACTTTTACCATGATTGTAAATGAGCACCCCTTATATAGTTCCCTAATAATCATGGGTTTGAGGACACTGATATCTATACTTTTCCCCACATCCATCTGCCAGCTGCTCAGGCAACCTTCCCTGGGCTCAGTTTCCACAAACATAGCTATACGTAGGTGTGTATAATCTCTAATTGGGACACTACACTGTTATCTTGAGAAATCGCCTACGTTCTTTTATGTAGGCCTTTTTATTCTCGTAGATGAGGTGATGTCTGACTACGTTCGCCCCGTGAGCTTTGCATAGACAGTAGTGCCCTTTAACCCTATACCGCACACAGAACACACGTGGTTAGGGCTTCCCATGTGGAAACAACAGTACCCCTGAGTCCTGCATTTCCTACCACAGGCCTCAGTCTTCCCCATAAGTATGTATTCGCATCGGTATGGAGCAGGTCTCATGTTTAGCATACTTATATGGGTATTTAGTCTAATTGTTTCAAGAACCAATGCAGTCGCTGCTATACCCAGCGCTATGAAGCCCAGTTCACGGTCCATTTGCCCCTTGGATGGTGTGTAGTACTGAGCGAGTGTGGGTTTATTGAGTGGTTGCAACCGTTTACCAGTTAATAAGTAGTATTCTTTAAGCTCGTCGTCAACATCGTGGAATGTTTGAACGGCATGGTTTTCACGCCTGAGTTGTTCGTTAATGTAATCGATCCTCTGGAGGCGTTTTTTAGCGTACTCAGCCTGTGCTGTTTGTAAGTTCTCAATAGCGAGATCGTGCCGCTTTCTCTCTGCCTGTATTTCAGCCGCGTGTGACTCTCGTAGTTTCGAGAAGAGGAAATTACTCCCGGAAAATGCTAGGGCATTCACTAACGCCCCACCGACCATCATAGCTATCGTGGCCATCTTTACTTCATAATATTTTCAGGTAGTATCCCTTGTTTTACTAGGATGTCTTTTGTAGCCATCGCCATACCAAGGTTCATTATGAGCATACCCATATCCTGCAGGTTGAAATCTAGCTTGATAGTTGGTTGTTTAAGCACCATTTTGGTCAACCGGCGTATCCTACGGCTAGACTGGCGACCACTGTGGCGTGGTATGCGTCGTTGACGAACGTTTTCCCCTCAGACATTATGTATATGATATAAAAATATTAAATTATAACATGATGTGCGGGTCGACCTCTAATTGGGGAACCGGATCACCGGAATCCTTAGGATTCCTGTGTGGGTCTCCCTCCCTGGGATTCCTGTGTCGTGTATATAACCACGAGATAGCCACGGCTGCAGTTACACCTACAACCAACAAGAGACGCTCCGGGTGAGTCACCCTGATAATTTTATGTTGGTTACACCACCGTTTTTTACCGGCAGCTACTCTCTTAGGATTCTTCTGCCTGGTTACTGTGGGTTCCGCCAGTTGTGGGGTCTCCTCGGGAGGGTTCACCTCCAGTTGGGGTTTCTCCAACGTGGGAGGGTTCACCTCCCTGGGGGTTTCCTCCAGGTGTGGTGTATCCTGAGCATCCATCTATACTATTATTATTATTTTTCCTCTCAAATTGGCAATGCTTTGCCGTAATAATCGCCGCCGTCACCGGGGCTAACAACATACCATATTTGTGGTACAGCTCGCAGCTAATAGAGCTCAAGGCGTGCTCGATAAAAGGGTCTTTCTCGAGGTCTTCCCACAAGTAAAGTCGACGCTCTGGGGGAATGGGAAGGAAGTATGACGCAATACCAGTGTATATCTGGGTCATAGCCGATCCTATTGTCTTTGTCATTTCTGCTCCGAGCCGGGACTCGTATCTAGCGTACAGCTTATCGATTTCTTCGGCTGTCATTTTGTGAATTTTATCCGGAGTGTACTCCCCAAAGTAATGTTTGGCTTTGCCACCAACAGCCAACGCCACCAGTTTCTCTCGCTTGCCATCGTCCACTTGGGGTACCAACAATTGTTCGAGCAATTCCTCACACTCCATCTTATAATATAACAAGTAAGATTTAGTTTTAACTATATAATACCCGATGCAGGCAAAACACAGGGAAATGAAGGTTAAGTTGCACACGACGAACACTTCAAATACCATAGCTATAACTAAATGCT